CAAAACATAATTAATGGTTATATAACTGTATAAAACACTGACCATTAATTATGTTTTGAGATTTCATTCTGATTTAAACTATTCTGAAGATGGTCAAAAATTATTGACCGAAACGTCAAATAAAATATCAACTTTAAAAAAAATAACTCTTGGCACGATCAACCAGCCTGACCCTTGATCTCCTATCTTTATTAAACAAGTTTTAATTATTATTTTGCATATATAAATTGCAAAAATATGTATATTGTACGCTACGTATAGGTTATCTAAATATTTTAATTCCAATTTATAAATATTGAGCAAACTTGGAAAAACATATGTATAAAATAAAAAAATATTAAAAAAAAATTGAATAATATATAAACTAAAGTTTAGTACATGTTATTTTAAAATGAATATTGTAACTTTTTTCATATAATTACCTTGTAAGATTTCAACACATCTACCCATCGTTGCTTCTCCTCTGGACTGTTTGCTCTTAAATACCAAACTAAACAGTCATTTACAGATACATCAAATCTGCATTCATCAAATTGATGTGCCTGGTGAAATAGACAACTTAATGCAAACTCATTGACTTAATTATTGCACCATGATACATGTACATTATCGAAACAGACTTGTCAAAGATGATCTATTACCTTGATATTAGCTTTATACAGACTAATCGAACCACGACATCCGAATCCGCTGTCCTGCTCAGATTTGTAATAAGACAAAGTACCATCTTTGAGTACAATAAATCTAGTTTGCCAGCCATGTATGTAATTTGTCCATTTGGATAATGTACCCTGAAGTTCTGGAACTATAACCCCGTCGGAGTCCTCGTCATCACCGTCGATCTCGGCGTCTATAATGCACTCGGCGTCCTCGTTATTGACGCCTCGTAGCGTCTCCACCACCTCGTCAGCCATTCTTATTTATTTCAATTAAAAATCTTCACGATACGCGTTTATCCAGGATGCGCTTCTTAACATCGCCAGAGGCGGATCCGAACTGAAATCGTGTGGAATATCGACTCAGACTTTCTTCACTGCGGGCGGAAATTTATGCGACGCTCAACGGGCTGTCACAATGAGATAAAATGTCTCGAAACATTGTCTCTGACTATTGACATACATAACCTGTACGCAAAATATTTCTCATTAAGCGATGAGACGTCAATCAAGGCGGAAGTGCGAGAATAATTCTTGTTAAGAGGGGGATAGGGTGGGGTAGAGAAGAGAAGCATATCAAGCCGCTATCACACTAAACCAGTTGTAAACTATTTATCTAGTAGCGACTTGAATTCATAGTAAAATAGTGATTAATTGATCCGCGATGGATCAAAATCTGTTTAATCGAAAACGTTATAAGTAAAGATAAAAAGGGTAAAAGTGGACAAAATAAACTACTATAATTCTGATGTATGGTATAGAGTGTGATTAATTGTAGTATCTGCAACGTAGCTGCAGAAAATACATGTCAACAATATGGTGTACATTATAGTGTCATTAATGCTTTTTATTTCCGGGCTAGCTATCTGACTTGGTATCGTATCTAGATATTAGCTGTTCATGCTTATAATGAGAAAATTAAAAATTACTTTTTCTAAATTAAGTTTCTTGTTATCTAAAGAATAATCATGAATGTTGCTTATATTGTTGATAATTAATTGTTATAGCTTTTAAAAATATTTATTTAAATAATATTTAGGTTTTATACAAAGTAAAGTTATTTGTATTTCGCGCAGTTACATTACGGTGTCATTAATACTTTACACTTCCAATCAAGTATCTTTTTAATTAATTAATCGCATTTCAATATTTGTAATTATTATATAATTACAAATAAAAAAATCCAGTTATTTAAACAACTTGTTAGTTAATTGAGAAATTGATTGATGAATATAAAATTGAATTCAAAGAAAAGTTCTAAACTGGAAGTATAAAATATTGTTATGCCTAGCGTAGTAGTGAGAGAGAGAGATGAGAAGATGGCGGCATGTGAAGAAAGTAAGCGAAAGTTTTGAAAGATTTTTGATCCAGTTAACAAATTTTGATTAAACGTAATTAAGAAATATGTCTGAAAACTGAAAGAAGAAAAAGTAAGGATTTAAATGAGCAAGTAGTTTTTCAATTTTTAACGATTTATATACTGATACGGTAAGATAACGTTCGGATGAATTTGCGATTCAAATGTCTCCGATAATTTATTTGGTGTAGAGTGTATCTTTAGTTTTGCAAAAAAGGTTACTATCGAATCGTTACTAAAGAAAATAAGAGGGAAAAGAGAAGAAGAAAATAATATTTTCTTCTAAAAGGGACGAATATTCATATCTGAGAAGCAAAAGATATCGTCTAGAATATCGTCCGATTCAGCGCGCCGCGCCGCGTCGCGCTGCTGAATTATGCAAAACTAGCGAACCAAATGACGACGCAAACACTAATTTTATAGCTTGCCGCCATCTTCAAACGCGCGCCATCAGTAGTGTGATGATAAAATACTATTGACTTGTTAAAATATACGAGTGTACGCGAGTGTTGGAATGATATAAGAGTGTTATACGAGTGTACGCGAGTGTTTGAAGCAAATTCTAAAAGTTCCAGTTTATGACGTTATATTATAATTATTTAGTCGTTTAAATATTTTTATTCTGAAAAGACAGTTTTTGTACGATTAGTATATTTTTTTGCAAGAAAAGAACAGATTAAATATAAATACTTATGCTTGCATATTCTTTATTCGATAGATTTTAACTATTTAAAATTTGAGTTTCTCATAGAGTTAATGAATGTGTTTAAAAATTTTGAGTTTAATACGAGATAAGGCTATTTTGTTTGAATTGTGCTTATTATTATTAATATTAATTTACAAACATTTTAACCTTGTGCAATAGTGGTTACTTTCTATTGCACATTTAAGAAGTTGTATATACAGGGAGGGATAAATTAGAGAGACTTTTCTCTCATGATTCATTATCTCTCAATTATCTAAAATTGTCTTATCACTGCATTATCCTAATTTGCACAACATAGTTGTCCACAGTTTTACGTTAAAGGTTTTTTTTATTTATCTTACTGACACATTATAGTTATTACATATTTCGCAGAATGTTATAATTCGGGTTTCTCGATGATTACACCCTTCCTGGCGTATGTTGCGCAGTAAAAGTCATATTCCTAGTCTAGTGAATCGTGTTCTTGCCTTCATTTAAATATTTAAAAAAATGTAAGTTCGGTTACGGCTATAGGTATGTCGCGAATATCTTTGATCGTTGCATGTACTTCTTAAAATCTAGTTTAATAGAAAACGCGTCGCATTGTTTCCTTTTTCCCTTCACGTATATGTTTACTCTGCTTAGTATGTACACGGCGGAGAGTGGTACCATCATTTCTTGGCACCGGAATACTTAAATTAGGCTATCGGTTTTTTTTTCCAATTATATTGGGCGTGAATATATCTTAAACAATATTTTGAACAAGCTTCTGAGAAAGAATCGCGCGAACAGCAATGAAGACATTCAATCAATCGATATTTTTCGCATCTTTTACAACACTGCCTTCTATCGAACTATGCCTGTAACATTAATGTTTTGATGGATACAGGATGAGAAAAGAAAAAGAGCGATCGCATTTTTGAAAGTACTCTTAGACTAGGAAACAAATATATATTTTAACATTGAATTTTCGATAAGTCAGTCGATATGATTAATACTTTGCTCATCGATTTTATCCTAACCAAGTAAATGTCTCGGACGTCAAGTTAATATAGACAAAAGAATTTAATATTTGATAGAATGTAAAAAAATGGTTTTTAATAACGCTTTAATAATGCTAAGAAAATATTACGATCAATTCTTATGGAATCAAATAATTGATACAATTCGAAGCATATGGCATCGCTAAATTAATTCCTATACAATACTCTCATTATCAAACAAAATCACACCTTTATAGTCGTATCCTATAATGTTTTACTGCAAAGCAAAATATCCTCGTTCCTATAACTGAGTATTAATTATGATCCTTCTCTTAATTCTTTATCATATAACAATTTCTCCACATTTCATACATGCTTTTATATGAAAGTATTCTAAGAAAATTTTACATAATGAGGCATTTTTAATTAATTGCAGATTATTTATTAATATACATATATGAATATATAATATTTTTATTGAAATCATTATATGTTCAATATATAAATTATTTATATGTATACTTTGTGCGAATAATTTATGAATACAATAATAACTTATACATTTGAGATACATATTGTACAATACACATTGATACTATTTTTATATATTTAGTACACTTTGTATACAAAAAGCATACTAAATATATACAATGTGTACTACTTATATATTGAATTTACAATGATCTCAATAATTTATATAGTCAATATAAGTTGTCAAATGTTAATGTTCAATGAAACTTTTGCAATTAGATTGCGGATCGTAGATCCACTTGAAAAGTAAAAACTTATCATTACGATCCAAATTTGTTCGATTTTGTAACTTGAGAGTGAGAGTACAAGAGGCTAGTACTCAACTAATTATACCTCGAGGAAATCTTTTAGCAAAGTGACACGACGTTTTTCCGCAATATCCATTTGATTTTCTAGATCTCCACGATCCGTTGTTTCCGCTCGTTCGATCTTCCATGAAAGGTTCTCTATTTCGGCTTCTAATTGAGCTTGCTGATACTCGAACTGTTAGTTTCGTAAAGCGATAGTTAAACACTTGTTTTTGATCATATGTATTTTACTTTTAATGTTCGTTTTATTATTGCGAAATCTTACCAGTTCTTTACGCGGGCCAGATTCCATGTAATAGGCGTACGGATACGTGTATTGCAGAGTGTAACGGCAACGTGCTAAAAGCGATGCCGCTTCGAACAGATGTTGCCAATCTATCCACGTGCCGCTCGCTTTCATCACTTTATTATTGATTCTCATCTTGATACCCTCTAACGTTTGTTCCTCCAATTTCAATGATTTGCTATGATTCTCCCACTAAGTACACAATGTTTAGTGAGCAGGAGATATATAAAAATCGCAGTTCCGGTGCAGAGATTCCATTAATATCAAGCCGAACTTACTCGTTCGTAATAGTGAAGATACTTTTTGAGAGCTTCTCTTGCCTGCGCGTGAACGCTTTCGTGCGCAATATTCGGGTTCTCCTTGTAACGCGAGCATTCGTAATACTCGCTACCGTGTGCTTTCCAATCCCCAAGGCACATCCAGCAAAAGTCGTGTTTACAATTGTAACATTGCATGTGATTGCAACCGCCGTTCTTCTCAATGCAGATGTGACACTTTGGGCACTGTAAAATTTCAATTATTATATTATTCTATACATTTTGATACAGCAATTGTACAGCAGATTAAAGCACATGGAGCATTTTTTCGGATTCTTTGTTCACTGTCTTTCATAGAGGGTAGGATATAACTCACATCTTTGGTATGAGCACTAATGTAATTTGCTGTCTCAGAATCATCCGCACATTTTGTCAGCCACTTTTTAATTGTACTGCAATCGGTAGGTGCATGATACTCCATGCCACATCGGAAGCTGGAATCAAGAATGTTCTCACTATCTCTCTCCAAAAACAGCTTACGTATACCGTATATCAATACGGTATGCATTTGCGACTATTTACCAGAATATAGTTTTACAAGATGAACACATGACTCTTTTTGCTCGTTGTTCCTTCGAGCGCAAAACTATTTGGCAATTTGGACCAGGGCAGAATCGTAGTTGCGGGTGAGACTTGACGTAATCACAGAAGGCAAATTGCTGATACCTTTCTCTCATGTTAGGCTTAGTGAGTAAAGAAAGGACAAAGTCTTCTGGAGCTAGAATATCGCAATCTTGTGCCATGCAGCTTATACCTGTGTAAAAAGAAAAGAATGTCGATACATTTTTATAAAAATTAGCGGCTTAGTGACATAATAGGAAAAAAGCAGTATTACTCACCGGTAGATATACCTTGAGTTATTTGTACTTCAAAATGCATACACCAACAGTCTTTGCAAAACGAATGTCCGCATGTAAGTGTAGAAAACTTATCTGCGGGAAAAGCCATAACGCAAACTGAGCACGAACTACCCCTCTGACCTTTCAATCCTGGCACTTGTTCAGGGGTGGGTTTAATCTTTGAACTAATCAATAAACTGGAAGCATTGGTACGGTACTTTGTGACGATGTCTTGTAACGCCCAATTGTGTGCATGTAACAATACTTTGGCTAAGGATGGCGTTATGTGAAGGCTGTTACTTAACACCTCTACACTCTCATTCAAAAGTCGTTCCACTTCCTCCACTCGTAAACAGTCGTGTACTGCATACTCGTGATCCCTTCTATTCTGCTCCGGGTCCACGTCGTTATCCACTTCGCCACCCCACGGCTGTACATTGTAATAATCCTCATAGCCAGGATCTCCACAATCGGAGTCCGAACAATCCATTTCACTCTCATTCTCGCTCGACATCTGTGTAATAAATATTTCATACATTAGCCGCATTGTACATATAATGTGTAAATCTTTTCATAGGATTAAATATCGTTAGTTAAAGTTAAATGAATTAATGGTTAAAGATACCGTATCGAGTGACGCCAAGACAAATGTCAGGCACATATAAAAGCATACTGGCATAACCTTATAATTGGGAAAGTTTATTGAGAAGTCATAGAAAATTATTGGACGAAGCTAGGAGGAAATTAAAGATACAGGGGAATAATTGTTCACGATAGTGCACAACAATCGCGTCGCGAGTGAAGCCTCGAGTGAGGCGAGAAAGGATCTGACGCGTCGTGACAGACGCATTCTCGGGCATTTCGTTCGCAGGGGAAGAAGCTTTCGTGGATTCGTCCACGATTTACCATTCGCGCTTCTGTGACCTGTCTGAAAGCGACTGCTCGAGCTATCTCCCTCGCTACCTGCGGGAGAATGCGGTCTCAACAAACAATGTCACCGCGTAAATGCGCGGACGGGTGCAGTCACGACGACAGTCGTGCGCGGAGCGCGAGCAAACCGTTTTTCGAGCGACCCACCTTCGGTCGGCTGTGGCCTCGCGATTATCAAGAGAAATGCATTTATGTACTCGTTTCTACGTGCGAGAACGTGCGCGAGTGTGCGCGGCTGTCAAAAGGAACTTTGTGACGATTATATGCGACCGGCGGAATAACTATCGTAACGAATGGACGCGCGAGCACGCGAAAGCGTATCACGTCTCTCTCTCCTTGTCTCTGTCTGGTACTCTTTCTCTCTTTCTCTCTTTCGCGCGCGCTATATATATCACGTATGCATATATATATATATACTGTGTACATATGCATATGCGTCGTAACAGATGATCCCCGTTTAATCTGTGAGCAGATAAGACCGTCAAAGTCACCTGACGCAAAACAGCTGAGCGCGAGCTAGTTGTGTGTGTGTAACACTTTTTCTATTTAAAAAGTGAAATAAATATATATTGCGAATTAGAAGAAAGAAAAAGAGCGGAGAGGAACGTAGCAGGAAAGTGTAAGGAGTGTAGTTGAAAGGGACAGATCTAGATCAGATGTAGTAGCAGTCTGTTCCTTTCAACTGTATTTCGCTACGCTTTAATGAATATATAATTCTTTTAGAAGGAAAAAAGAAAAAAAAACAAATGTGCAAAATTGTAAGAAATGCAATAAAAAAATCTTGTGATTATTAAAGCTGTATTTAAATATCGTAAGTTAATTTTTTTATTTTAATATCTAGAAATTTCATGTACTTAAAATTTTTTACACACAAAAGTTATATTTGTGCTTAAATTTTTTATCTTTGAAGAATAAATTGATAATTTGTATAAAGAATATAATCCATACAGTTTAAAGCGGTTTCAAAAATATTGCAATTTGCAAATATTGTCAGCTTTGAGTATGATAAAAAGATATAGTTGTCCATTCTTTTTTATGAGTGACAGGGATTTATTGGATCTTTTTGGAAAGAGAAATAAAAACTCAGCGTCATCTGTTTTAGTACGGGTAAACCATTATGATTTCGTTTTGGCGGTGTTGCGACATAAAGGAAAAAACAAACATAATTACAATTTTTTACTTAATCGATGGAATCACTAATATTACTTTCATAACATCTATTTCAACATTTCGTATTTTTCTTTTTTACACGAAACATCTCTAACAATACACTTTATTGCAATAAAATCCGTCTGCTAGTGCTTGCGCTATTACACATGCGTTTGTCCCTTTGTCATAACAGAAATACGCATTTCATAACCTATATGCGAGTTTCGGAGCGCTTTTAACCTATAACACGTGGTCAACGGTGGTCTTTCCACTCAAACATTATGCCACAATCAGTTTATTACGATGAAGTAGAAATTGAAGACTTCGAGTACGATCAAGACGAGGAAGTTTATTATTATCCGTGTCCTTGCGGCGATCAGTTCCAAATATCTCTCACCGACTTGATCGCCGGTGAGGAGGAAGTTACATGTCCTTCCTGCTCCCTCGTGATCAAGGTGATATACGATAAGGAAGTGTTTCGTGCTAAACAAGAAGAGCTCGAGAAGAAAAACGAAAAGAAGGAATTGGCATCGCAGACAGTTTAAGGTAAGTAAAATTAAAATCTTGACATATCCTGAAGTAGATAGGTTAGAATTGCGTTAGATGCGATTTTACAAAATCTTAAGACCGTTGGATGTTAGAAAACAATAATTTATAAATTGCCCTAAAATTCTATAGTATTAAAGTTAATATCAATTAATAAAGTTAAAATCAATTAATCAGAGTTATATTTTATAGTACAAATTTTTGGGAAGTTATATAATTTTTTACTCTAATATACTTAGAAACTTTGATTAATGTCATGCATTTTTTAGATCACGTGGCAGGATACAAAGTAAGACAGGAAGGATGGCAGGAAGAACGGCAGGACGTGGCAGAAAGCCCTCTATGTCTTTTTCCATGGAGCAGTTGGGTGTTTCTAAGGGAGAAGCATTATCACCACCACTTTTACAACCGTCGCCGAGTTATCCTCCATTGGATCATAAGCCTCTGCCTATCCAGATGACCACTGAGATGAGTTACTTGGTCGAACTGAAGAGGGATTTTACTGAGTATATGCGGGAGTCGCCGAACAATGTACAAACTGTCGTATTAAATGAAGATATTGAACGATTCTGCGAGGATTATGATGAAACTATTATGACCAATAAATCAGAGTACGAATCAATGCACGACTGGAGTAGGATGCCGATGGAATTGAAATCATCGCGAAAACGCAAGTTGAGTGATCAGCAACAGAGCACGCAACCAAACAAGAAACAAAAGGTTGTAGATATTGATAAAAAACTAGCCGAACTAGAAAAGAAAGAAAGTGCACAACAGGCTGATGCGGAGAAGAAAACCAAGCAAGAAGGAGAGGAAGAGGATGAATCCGAGGAGAAGGAGGGCGAGCGTGTGAAGAACGAAAATGAGATAGATGAAGAGATGGATGATGGAACTGATTATGCGAACGAGTACTTCGAAAACGGAGACAATTACTATAGCGAAGATGAGAATGACGATGGACCTATCTTTTTTTAATGCATAAACGCAGTGCGCCTTTAATCTCAGAGATAGCGACTCGTCTTGGAGCTTGGAGTATTGACAAGTTGCTGTAAACTCAGCTGACTCGTACGATGTGTGAAATTTTTATTAGTCAATTTTTATCTTTAATTATACGCTGTTAATTTGTTGTTCTGATCTATTGATTAGCGTGCGTGGAATAAACGAAGACAGAAGTCGTTCATGTGACTCAATAGAATAATATAGCTTGGAGATATAAATCTAATATTGATTATATTGTTTCCTTTCTATTTTTTTTATGGGCGCAAAGAAACGAAATCTTTATTTTTAACTTTAACATCATATGGCAGTACTAAACTTTAGACAAAGAGACATTGTACATTAGTAATCGTTTATTATATATTCGTTATAGTTTATTACGCTTTCCTCTGTTTTATTGAGGAGGGGAGTAATCATTGATACGACGCACTCGAAATAGGAGGCACGTAGCGGGACAATGAAAACAGTCCACAGGAATCACAGGAAGCGTCGGCGTGTTCTTTATTACGAGTATTTCAATTTCTAATATATAATATATATTTATATATATATATAATATATATATATATAGCCATAATAATCTGCAATTATTGTAATAAATGACCCGCCTCTATGATGCGATCGGATAGTAAAAACGTAAATATTCGGGACGAGTGAGTCCAGGGAGGAGAAAAAGGAGGGGGAAACGGGGTAAGGAAGGTGATTGAAATGCGCAAAAGTACCGTAGTGTTACGTAATGCTCATTACGCACACCTCGTTTAGTCCTGGTATCTCGATTTCTTATCTCTTTTTCTTTTTTGTTTCTTGGAACGAATATTTGCGAATTCACGCGGCGATTATAGTGACGAAACAAATGTTAAATCGTGGAGGAGCGATCACCTGAAAGACTGCCTAACCAGTCACTGATCATTCTTCGAGTTTCTGACCCGTCCCTCAAGGCCGAGTTTGTGATCGCAGGATGTTTTCGGATTATTCAGAGGTCCGAATTCTTTGCGAGAAACGATCCGGCAGACCGGGAAGAATTGCATGAATTCTTTTAGGCGCAGTATAACGGTAAAAGAGCGTCATGATTTGGCAGTAAATTGAACAATTTTTTATAACGACGAATCTTTGATACCATCTTCGGCTGAAGGATTCAAATTGTTTTAAGAACTTAGTAAAGTGCTCGAACGCTTATCGCAAACAATTCGAACCTAATCGTCCACAATGATCGTTTGCATATTCTTCGTGTGAAATTATGTGTGTAAATTCTTCACGTATGACAAATTAATACACATCATTCTCGCGTTTCTCTCGAGTGTCCCTAAACAGTATAAGATAGTTTCTCTACGTTGAGCCAATTAATGCGCGTATATTATAATAATCGTATACGAATAAAAGCTAAATTAAAAAAAGAATTGAATATTATAATATTTAACATATGACATATGTCCATTTATATATCGGATTATGTTAATACAAATATAGAAGAATAGCGAATTGATAAAAAATCGCCGTGAAGTTGGGAATGATTTCAGCTTATACTGTTTAAGATTACACAATGCAGTAATCACTCGATCACACTGTCACAGCCAATTGATCTGTTCTGATAATTCGAGAAATCATCCCTTTGATCTCAAATGAGCTTTTAGCTGCACTTTCTCTCTTCTCGCATCAAAACAAAAGAGAAATGTGGAGAAGACGCAGCTAAAAAGAAAGAAGGGAAAGACTTTATTTTATCTATAGCGTTATTATTATAGTTCTGAACTGGGAAAATATCTGCAAAGAAAAGAGAGAGAGAGAGAAGGATTCGTCGAAATTTACATCCGAATATTACGGGTGTATCATGTATATAAATTAATTGTTCGCAGCGTTTCGTTGTATCAACGTGACACGCTCGTATGAAAAGTCTCGCGGGACACCATGAATAAATAAAATCAAATACAATTTTACAAGGTATCATCATTTCGTACTACGTAGGAAACAGCCTGCCTGTATCTCTATCATTCCAAGCTCTTTTATTATCAATAACCGTTCCTTCGCCAGTTCTCATTTTTTGCCAAAGTTTTCTTTAATCGCCCATCATCTTTATCGTTTCATCTATATATACACACACACATATATATATATATATATATATATATGTGTATATATATATTTTTTTTTTTAATACAATTGTCGCGTTTTTGCACAACCTATCTATGAGTAAGTAGGGTTAGTCTCGGGACTAAGGCGTGTTTTAGTCTCGAGTTCTCGTGCGCTGGACCAAAGCATCGATATATCATCTCTCGTTGATAAATAAGCTTTATCCCGCTTGCACTCTGCTGATTGATAGTCCAGTTCGAAAACGCAATTTTTTAATGAGTGCTAAAATCATAAGTCAGATATAACATATTTGACTCGCTCAGTATTGAAAAAGCACATATAAATTTTCTTATTATAAAATATTACTTTTAAATTTTAGTAATTTGAAGAGATAACATTGAGTGTGATTTATTTATAATTGTATAGTATTTCGTGAAAAGTCTATCGAATAATTACTCCAATATAATCAGAATCAATAAAAAAATATATCTAATAGTTTATTAATAAAATAATAAAATTGATTTTTCGATTGACATAATTCGAAGTAAATTTAAAGAATTTTTGTTTGGCTTTTTCGAGCTAAACCATCGGCAAACTTATACTTTTCGCTTCAGTATTGAAAAATGTGACGCGAAAATATAATCCGAAAGAGTTTCCAAAATCGTATTGTATAAAAGAAGAAGGGCGTTTTCTCTGTTGATACTATAAGAGGGACGGCTGGCATGACTGCGCTTCGTATCCAATCTTGCGATAAAGCTTTTAAGCGGTTTCCACTTTCGATACGATTTGTCGAGTCGCATGTTACAATTAAGGTAAAGATCTCGTAATGAAATAAGTCGAATGAGAGCCAATTAACAGTATTTATGCATTAATGAATTATTGCCATCGTGCCACTTTCTTGTTTTTAATAAAATAAATCAGGACAGAATTATTCGATGTGGATGAAAAAGATTCTCGTCACCATTCCAAGTTAGTGACGTACTCTCCATTCCTAGGAAATTAATTGGAAATTATATATAATTACTTAATTATTACAATATTCTCTTTGCGTTTTGTTTTTCTCGCTTTTCTTCTCGTGGCATCATAATAGGCAATTATTATTTATGTTATGAGCGGGGCAGAAAATTAATCGATGACGATTTGGCAACTTATCATACACTTAGCGATACGCAAAAAAATGCTGCGAATTTCTCGAAAATCAATCTTAACATTAATTAACATTAATTAACATTTCTTATGTTCTCCTTTGGATTTCTCATTCGCACGACTTTATATACGTCGTCTCCATTATTATCTATAATATATTTATTAACGAAATCGATTCTTCTCAGATTCTCCTCGACGTTATTCTTTGACGTTATATCTCGCTTTGTCGCGAAGCTTTCTTTCGCACATTTTCGCACAATTACGAGGCAACATACAACGTGTCCAGCACGCTAATTTGTCGCGACGAAAAATCGTTTTGCTAATCGATAAGAATTTATACCTTCAACAATTATTATACGATATTTTTTTTTTCTACGCACTTTCATCAACGGAAAAAAGTGACAAGAACGTAGAATATATCGCGCTGCGTGTGTCCCACTCAAAAAAAGAGCGCTGGACAAGTTTCTTTCACAGCTTTCTTCATCTATATCTTAATCATAACAACAAAGTGCGCTCAGGCTGCGATAGAAAAAAAAGAGCGAAGCGTATCTTTCGAAAATGAGAATGGCGTACATCCATAGCATACACAGTTAGCTAACTATGATCATGTGAATCAACGCGACATAATCCAATGGCCCGACACATTGGAATTGTTTAATCATTTGTTAATTGATAAAACGATATCGCGTAATTGATATATTAAATGCGCTTGCGAATAAACTTGCGGATCGATGCGTACGCAACGATATTAATGAAGATTTTAGATGCGTTGGACGTAGTATTTGCCTTCGTGTATCAGTTTTGGTCGTTTCGGAGAAGCGAAAAACGTCGTTTCTCGCGGGGTCGGAATCATGGTCTGATTTATGTGGTATGATGTTCCGAAAATCACAGGACAAATCGGCTTTTGAACTCGGACGGGCAGTGTAAGCTTGCGAGGTGCTTTTTCAGCGTGTGGCAAGCGCGATTACAAGCCGTATATACGCATTTTCGTCTCGATAGTATCGCTTACGTCCAAGTGTTCGAATTTTCATTGTCAAGTGAAAAGAAGAAAGATTTATTTTTCAATTGTTTTAGATCAATTAAATCGCTGCAAGCCATAATTAATAAGATTTTCCACGATTTTCAGCAAGATAAAATGTGGAGTAAAATAAAGTGTACATCTATTTTATTTTAAAGTAAAATGGAATTAATTTCTAGTTAAATAGTAGATCGGGGCGTAAGCAAGACTAACGATACGTTTAACACAAATGCTAAGAATGGGTGCTCGCGTCGAAGGGTGCAAATGATATTGAGATAGCATTGGCAATGAAATCGGGGCTGCAGTTCTATCATCGTCAGTCGAACGATGCTGCGAAGCGTTCATGTCTGTGATGGAACAATCGGTGACGATGATAACTTGTATCGGTAGAATCTAGAAATCTGGGCGACATGAGCGTCAGAAAATATCTGAAGATTATAATTCTTTAATCTTTTCGGATATTCTTTTTGGATATTTTTTAGATACCTCTTGTACAATCTTGCGTCGATTAGGAACGATTGTCGGCACTTTGTTCACGTGTATCTCGTAGCGGAGGAATTCTCGAGTTTCGTGAATTGGAGCCGCGCGACTCTAAATATCACTTACTCTAAATATCACTTTTTTTTTCTTTTCTCTTTAATTCAATGATTTGCTAACAACATTTTCAACATTGAGAATATTTAATTACTGCATTATAACTGCAACATCGAAAGCTGAAAGGCGAAGGTACAAAAGGGACCACACTCTCGCTCAATAAGATATGCTGCAGTTCTATGTATTAAGTAAAACATCACTCTTTGGATGAAAAATTAGGCCGAATTTTTACGCAATGGACTTTCGGAGAGAAGCGCTACTGTGCGATTCGGTGCAGATGTAGTGTGTCTCAGTAATTTTCAGATTTTTCCACATCTTTCTCAACTTTGAAATTATTGTGAAAAATGCAAAATAAAGATTGAAAACGTTATCGTCTTTTGACATTTATAGAAGTTTGTGCATAAAAAGCGAGACAATTGAAATAAAATAGAAACTGTAAAATAGAAATTAGATATATTTATAAAATTTACAAAATAAACAAAATTTTTATATTTTCTATTTTTTACAATTAAATAATAAGAGAAATGTAATTAAATTAAGTTGAAAGAAATCTCAATCTTTTTATACTATCGCTCGATTTAAAATCTGAGAATCGACTGGTTGACTCGAAGCGTCCACAACAGCTAAATCCTTAAAGCCGGATGAAACTTGTTGATCCTCTTTTCATGATCAGATCAACGATTATTTTTACCACTCGAAATCATACTCACGTATCGAGCAATGAACGGTATCATCGTCAACGATCGCTCATTTCGAAGCAACAATCCTTGTTTTCTCTCATCTTGAATCCCGTCATCCTGAATCCTATCCACCGAGTCCTGCCGCCAGTTCGTTCCGGCTTTCGCTCTTATATAGGTATACTTAGCGATGTCTTCGGTATTATTATTTAGTATTGTTATCGTTATCATTATCATTATACTGCTTCACTACGGTTGGTTGGCTTTTGGACGTGGATCTGGATGGAGTGTGGTGTATACCGTATGCATTCGCGTGAAAGGGATAGAGAAAAGCTCCACTGTTGCCTTCATCCTGCCTCGCGGCGTTCTCGAAACGAGGACAAGCGAGTGTTTTCCGAGTTTTTCATTCACCGAGTGAATGTTAAAAATAGAATGGTTCGCCGGTCATCCTGCAGTTAAACCCCAAAGTCTAAGCACAATTTAATTTGAATTTCGAATAAATTGCAAAAAAACTTTTAATAATTTTTTTTAATGAAATGTGAAACATATTTTATATTTCAAGATATTTCAAGTATCCTTTTTTTGAGACATGCTGATTTTAATAAACATATTTTCGATATTTATCTATCACATGAGCCCGAACGAAAGATCGGAGAACTCTCGTTTGTCACTCGATCTTCGCGTGTAGATCTTTTCTCATCGCTGTCACTGTCGTCATCGTTTTCTTCAGAGAGGAACGTACGAAAGAATATACATTTGCGTAAGAAATCAGACGGAATATGCACGGTGAGTAGGTAGCGTATATCCTTGTTGGTTCTTCCTTCTCGTTCTCCTCCCTCGATGTACGATTTCGATTCGCTTGCGATTCGGAAAATCACGTTTCCGTTCTCGGTAAGTGCCGACCTTCCGATCGATCGAGAATAATGCCAGAACCACATCTTTCGAACGTTCGATCGTCATCGTCATCACACATACAGCGGTACTTTGTGTTCAATCTTAATCGCGGAGGTATTCGACGTCCTATGTGTGAAAAAACACTACGCCTCACTACAGTAATTCATTTCGCTTCGTAAGTGACGACTAAATTGGGCCGTAAAGTTTTCGAGACCGCACTTGCGGCTCGCGTCTCTCGACCATTCGCGCACCGCGATTTGCTATGAACGATCAAGCGGAAATCAATTATTTCCGGTTCTGAAAATATTTTCACGATATAGTACTGTGTGACAAACTTAACAATGCGCTGTCTAGTTGTTTCCATTTTCTGAGAATCGACATAAATGAAAATTCTTCAATATAAAGTAATAAAAGCTTATTGTGCCTTGCGTGCTTCCATTCGACTTTCTAGAACATAATCATCGTGCATTGCCATTGTGTTTTATCACGAAAAGGTATTAATCTTTGTTAGCCTTTAAATAGTTAATCGTAGTGCTGCGTTCTTCATTAGGATTTAACTTAGAATCAGCAGCGAATTCACGCCTGGCATGGAAAATGTATTTCAAGCGACACTTGAAAAGCGATTAAGAGGAATCATTTACTTTGTAATAGCTGTCAGCTACAAATAAGCAACAACGGTGAACCGATAAACTCGTCCACGAAATCATACGCGAGACGGTCGAGATTCGGTTTGAAGATGGAACGAATTCTTTCGTGGCGACAACACGTAAGGAGAGATCTTCTCTCTATTCGAAAAAGAAACTAGTTCGCGGTTTTTCCGTCGAGGATTCCACAGATCTGTAGTTCTTACGTTTTCAATAAAGCTTCCTACGCGAAAGGAAAATGTTACTTCCTAAGACTTCCAAAAAGCCGACGTATAGAAATAAATCCCAAATAAATAAATAAATATACAAATGCACATTAGCTTTAAATAAATAAATATGTAAAAATCTATTCATTCGACGACCGTAACGTCGTCATAATTGCTTTAACGTTTAGCGATGATCAAGTATAATTATACGCGGCGAAATAATATTATTTAACAATGATATTGTGCTGATCTGAGGAATCCTCAGCGCGACGCCGCACTTTATTCATAAATCGCGAGTGCGATACCCCATAATTGTATACATACGTGTGTATACGTGTTAATAATTGTATATTCTGTATATAGACTTATATAAAACGCACGAAGCGGTTATCCGAAGGCTACTTATCCTTCCCGATTTTACTTATAGCGGCAAGCCGTTGTTTTTTTTTTGTTATTTTACTTGTCGATATTCGATACTCGGCTTCGAGTTTTATGGAAAAAGAATTCGGGCTTAACTACGCCGATTCCGCATATGCGGAATCACTTTAATATCCTATATAACGTTAATGTTTTCGCGTGAATGTGTATTCGTCTATAGACACCGTCTCTATATCCGCGTGTCGATGAGTTACGCGCGCGCGATGTGTGTGTGTGTGTGTGCGTGTGTGTTGCATGTATGTGTGTCTGTATGTATGCAGGGAGTAAAAAGGATATTTGCGCATCCCGTCCTCTCTGGGATAATTTTACTCAAAGGAAAAAAAATGTTGCTACAACGTGCTTTGTCCATTGTACTAGTACAAACGGAAACAATTTGATAGAAACACACTTGCAGTAATATTTTCCTGTTTCCTATAAAATTGTTCCAAAGCAAAATGGGGTGTGCAGATCTTTCTTTACGCACTGTATGCATTCCGAAATTGCAATTGTATTTTGTTTCTGCAGCCTATGAGATCTCGCGATGAAATCGCCAATCATTCGAAAAAGGAAAGACGCGAGTATATCCTTTTGCGTGCATTCGTTTATCTGTGTGTATGTGTGAAGCGTGTATCGAGCGTGTATCGAGCGTGTGTCGAGTGTGTACGTGGTTATGTTCCTCGAGTCAATTTTCGGAGTTTACGAAACGAGACCGACGCGTAACCTGCACGCACCGTCGTCGTATAAGCTTCTCACGTCGATCCTTGCTGCACGCTGGCGTATCCTCTTGCCTGGAACTACTACTTCTCCCTTCTCGTGATTCGCTTAACGATGCCGACATCCGCGGATACTGTCCTACGATCTGTCTTCTGAGTGGGAAGGGCGGAAAGCTTTCGCATTAATGATCTTTGCCTTTTCGAGTTTGTGCCTCCGTGAAAGCTTTGGAATCTGATCGTCGCTTAATTTCAAATATTTAGCATCGTCTTGATTACATCTCGACTATATGCTCTTTGCATTTTAGTGTTTGTCGATGAACGCGTAAATCAATTATCGAGTAATTGAATTTTAACCTTCGGGATATCTCTCAGTTGTGTCAATTGGTTTCTTTACTTATATCCGCTCTTCTTTCGGCTGAATCTCCGATCGACGATCGAGTCTCTCCGAAATATCTTGATTTATATTCAGCAGACGCACGCGACTTTGCCATCCTCCGGCTCTTTCGATACTTATCGAATCGGTAATATCCTGACGTAAAGAAACCCTCGAGAGATTTAGTTTCCGATGATCTTGCGTTACCGGCAGCAATCAATGGAGAGAGTTCTTTCACAGAGACACTATCTCGGCTTCGTTCTCTCTCGTCGCTTCCTTCTCCCTTCTCAATACATGCGAACATACATTTTCATTTTCCGAGCAGCTACAGCAGCTACGAAAGCACGCGGACAGACGAACCGATGGTGGGACTCAGCGGGACAGTGTTCCTCTCCCGGGAGGGACCGTTCTGCCCTTCCGGGACGGAAAACGTGGAATCGGACCCGTCCTCTTGCTTTCCTTGTCAGTTTAAAAGCTTTTAATTCTCCGCGCCATTGTTGCCTTTTCCCCAGAATTTGTCGAAGCGGTTTCGCGCCTTCTCCAGGACATCGCTCGCCGCCGAACGTTGCGCCGAGCCTGGTACCACCGCCGGCGCTTCCAGGACGTGATAACCGCCTGTGGTGCTGCCTCCGGTACTGCCTGCGGTACCGCTACCCTGAGACGGCGCCTCGGTCTCGAGAACGTGGTAACTCTGTTGCGGCGCGGACGACGATGTCATCGTCGTCGTCGTCGTCGTCGTCGTTGTCGTCGTCGTCGTCGGCGCCGTTGTGATTGTTGCTGGCAGGTCGCCCTCTTTTCTTTCCATCTCGAACGGGTCCTCCAGGCGTCTCACACTCGTGCCCGTCATCGGTTTTATCGACGGCTCCGAGCTCTGTTGTTCTTTCGTCTCCTCGACAGTGTCAGTGATCTCCTGAAGAAAGGAAATCGTAAATTGCAAAAGTTTACGCTTTCCTGCGGTATCATTCGCGATGTATAAAGATATATGTATGTTGTGCACGGAAAAAAAGAATTTTTTGGCACAGCAAATTTCACACTGTATTCATAGGAAAATATGTTAGTTATTATATAAACAGAAAAAAAGAAATTGTTATGGATGCACTAATTTTATTTGCCGAAAACACTTGTGTTAAATTTGCAAATTATATTGCTATTATAACAAACTAATTTTTATTTTTTTGTCATCAAAATTTCTATTAGTAGCGACAATTTTGCTGAAATAGCAGTATGCATTTGTTAGAAATAAATTATTTTGTTGTAGCAGCAAATTATTATCTTGACGAACGAACGTACTTAGCAAAATTGATCCATTTTGCCAACAAAACAGTTTTTGCTGATATGTCGAATAATCTGAAAAATTAATTATAGTAGCGAAATTTTATCGCTATCACATCAATGTGCAATAGCAACAGCGATTTCACTGCGATAGCAAAATTCGTTTTCTTCTTTTCCGTGTATAAGTAAATTTATTTTCCTTCAAAACGTGCCAAGGGGCTTTTGCGCCGCGAATATATTATATTTCATTAATTAAGATGATAAATTAAATTTTGAATGTTTTATGAAGCGAGACGCGTGCATGAGCACGCTGAAGCTCTTTTATCTCGTCGCGTTCAAAGTGTGATAATTGAGTTGTTTCTGACCTTCTCGCTCTTTGTGAGCGTCTCTTGAGCGTGCGTGGGTAACGGACTGTCTCTCTCCGAGTCCAGGTCCTTGTGGCCGTTTATACCGCTAAAACTGCCGAGCGAGACGCTCTCGCTCTCGGGAGACTTGTAACCGGAGTGCTGGGAGTGCTGCGACTTGTGTTGAGCCGCGAGCTCCGGCGGCGCCGACTGCGGCGCCGACGGCACCGACGACGGTGCCCACGTTTTCGCCTCGCTATGCGGACGCGTTAAGGGCTCTTTGATAAAAATAATTTAGATTAATTAGAATATTACGTCTTGTTTATATAATCTCTAAATTATAGAACTCTGTCGGTATTTCGTTATTAGTGGTTCTCCAATTATTTTCCGATCGCATTGTAGAATTGACACGCACACATAATTTTTATCAAAGATACAACTAATCTCTTTGGAAAGTTACAACATAATTTTACATTGTATAGCGCGCTGGCAAAGTTTTGTCATATGCGTACATTCGCGCGTGCTTCGATCTAAATAACATTTGACTGACTCTGCTAAACGAATATTCAATACATTTGTGAAGGATGCTCGTAATATTTGATTTCTGTATAAAAACATCTGTAAAATATTTTTACGCATATTTAGCGAACGGTAAAATTTTCTTAGTATCTAACACTTTTCGTTAATGCCTTACCCTCTCGGACGTTTTGCGTGACAGTGAACGTCTTGCCGGTGTCGAGGGGCACCGTCCAGTTTACGGGTTCCGGCGAGCGCATGATCATCTGCTCCGGCGACTTTACCCTGGTCGGCTCCGGCGGACTCTTCACCACCGGCTCGTCGTCGAACCACGGGCTTGCCTTCGTGACGGGCGCGGGCGCCGGTGCCTGCGCCGTCTGCGACGGCGGTGTCGAGGCGACGCTCGAATCTCCGCCCGTGACATCTCCGTTTATCTGGGGTTCTGCTGTCACTGGAACGTACGGAGCGAAACGCTTTATCGTCGATGTAGACGGTCGCTCCAAATCCCCAACCCCGTGTCCCCCGCGAAGCTTGCACTCGATGATCAATTGAAACACCGCGGCTGGCGTTCGTTGACTCGATATATTTCATCCGTCTTGATTATTTATTTATTTGTCAATCGTTCAGTTACTAAATTGTGTATTCCGGAATTGATAAAACGTTCGAGTTGGACAATGTCCAGATGTTGTAATTGTCGCGTCGCAATTTAGATCGAGATTTGCTGTTTAATTTGAGAATCTGCATAATCATCAAAGTCACGATACCGCGCGGATTGTTTGCACCCCCTCGTTATCGTCGCAGCGGCAAAGTTGCAGATGGAACGTTGGCTTGAATTCAACTTGTTTAGGGTCTTCACTTCCGTGTGTATATGTGTGAATTACGGGAGTTACGGGAAGCGGTGCCGTGGGGAATTACATTCGGTGATGTCGCTTGAGTGGCCAACGTGAATATACGTCCAAAACTAGGTGTGGCACACATAATCCGACGTGATTAGTGACGAGGAAATCAACCCTTTCACCGCGGCATTAACATCTCGCTCGATTATCAAAATGCTTTAATCAAGATATTGAATTTTGTTCGTCAAGTTATATTCCGCAAGTGTTATTCGACTATGTCACATATTACACTTGACGATTTATTATTCAGACGGATATTATATTAGCGATATCATAAATTTGACAATTACGCGACGAAAGGGTTGATACAGCAATACCAAAACATTTAAACGGTTGTCCCTTAAGACAATATCTTGGTTATATCCTGTCGCTGGGGTCGATATTGGTTAACATTGACAATGTTGATTATTTTGCGCTGCTGCGACGAGATATCTTCGCGCCTTTATTACGCAGAAGACACGACGGTTTCTCGAGATATATTTTTACATACTGTTCTCCTGAAGAGATCAAGGGATTTAACGCCAATATCGAGTGCAGGCGAAATTCTTTCGAGTGTGAGTGGAAAAGTATACGTGAAGGTTGCGCGTAATGTATATCGCAGAAAAGTACACTGGCGTACTCAGGATGCAATATAAAGATACGCAATACATACAGATACGCAATACACAGACACGGAGAGAGAAATATAAGAAGGCACAATGCGAATATATATATTTATATGTATGTGGTGTGGAGTGTACAAATGTGTGTTGCGCAACAGGTTGACAAAGGGCTTAACGTACGGTGTATCGTTTTCGTTGTAAATCGTAGAAACGATCGTTCGATCTCCCCGGCGTGGCACCGTACCTCAACGAGCTTCGTCACTCGTTTACCCGTTGATTAGATCTTCAGGATGGCACGAGAGGGGAGAGAAAAAGAAGTACTTGCGCGAGAAACAGAATTTTTTTCTGCACGAGAAACAGTTTTGTTCTTCAAATATCTTTGAAAAGATATTTCTAATCACGCTTGTGAAAAGCTCTCTTCAGGGAGGACGATATTTTTTCGCGATGAAAACGTTCAATCTCGATCAAATCCGCAAAGTTCCCCGATGGACTACGCTTCGTCCTCATTTTTATCAGTTTTGCTTGTTTAACAGTTTTAAAAATAATGCAAAGTATTTTAACAAAGAATGATAAATAAACTTCACTTATTACTGTTATGAAAACACGAGTCGCAGTTCTGTTAGACAAATCAAACATTTAATTATATTGTTTTGACCAGTTTAATACGTATTAAAAACATCAAAATTAATGATACCGTTTGAATTCAACGCCGAAATAAGCTTTGAGAATTATTTCATTGTTAGTTTTGTCTATTTTCTTAATTACTTCCTTTTGTCGATTTGATAGCAGTCTTTCGGGAAAATATCAGGCGGGTGTTTAGCCGTATTGTTGATATATGTATATCATGTTTCATTGTCGGAAACGAAATAAAGGCAATCTCTGTCAAAGACATTCGCGAAAGCTCCTGACTGGTATTTTAAAAGGTTTAAAATTGTATAGCGGTGTACAGAACTAACGATTGTGAGTAACTGTGACCTACAAATACGCATAATGCATTATGCGGACAATAGTCGAAATCAGAAATAAATAATCGGACGAATACATTCTCAAATAATCCATATCTGTCTGCAAAAAGTATAATTCTACAGAAATGTATAATCCCCCTGTTGGAAATGTAACGGCTTTTACTGCACGCTTACACGCTCGCAAAAAAGCGCAAAGCTTCCCCATTGTCACGAAACTTTATCCCGTTCTATATAGCCGACGCAGAGGAAAATTCGCAAATAACAGGAAGCTTGTTTTATACGAGGAAGAGTAAGGAATACGTCGCTTGGTGTGGCAGTAAAATAGTTCCGCTAGAAGTGTTCAATAAGATGATGACGTGGGGCAATAAAATGATGTAGGACGATATGTGGAATCTTCTATTGTGTGTTCGCAGTCGCTCGTGCATTTGCCTAGTTCGCGAGCTTTTTAACGGTCTCCAAAACGGTCTTGATCCGAAACTTTTTTAATTTTGAATAGAAAAGAATTTGGTACAAATTTTGGAAAATACTCAAAATCGTAAATAAATTGATTTTATTACAAAAGATTGTAATAAAAGAAATATTTATGTTTGATAAATCCAAGATTTATATGATACAAATTTGTAGGTAGAAAAAATTTCTGTTTTGTCAAAATACCGCGCATTTCTTTCACTTGATGTAAATTATATTTGATTTATCATACTTTCGTCTCTTGTGTGTGTGTGTGTGTGTGTGTGGCGGGTCGTCCGATGTTCGGTAGAGAAAATCTCCGAATAAATGATACCAAAATCAATGGTCATGATTGTGAGTTTTCAGAAGGATTTTCGAGGAATATGTACATGTAGCTGTAAGGATAAATTTTTGTTGTAACAAATCGAAAATACGTGCACTAGAGTGTCGATTGTCCCGGTTGTTTCAATATTAAACAATTCGTAAAAATTGTTTCGAAAAAATATAATTTGTATTATTGACTATGAAATATTTGTTATAGAATTTTTTGACAAACGAATGACATTTTGTTTTTATTTCTTGCAATTTATTAAAAAATAATACATAATTTATTCTTGAATATTATTTCGGAACTTGTCTTGGTTTCTTAACTTAAAGAAAACTAGAGATGCTTGATATTTTATATAATTGCTCTACCTTTCTATATTCAAAATACAAAACAATTATCATTATTGCTAATATTAATTTTGCTAAATCGACATTCTATCGTGCAACACGACGTGAAACGGAGGTTAGAACATACAGAAAGAGAGAGGGAGAGGAGAGGGAGGGAGGGGGGGAGGAGAGAGAGAGGAGAGAGGAGA